CTACGTCTGTCCCGGCACTTCCTCCCCCCCAGGTTCGTGTGGGGGGGGGGGACGATTTGTTTCGGGCAGACGGCCATGCCCTGGCAAGGGGGCCACCGTTCGGTGCCAGGCGCCAAACAGGCGCAGCCTGCCTCCCGGCGTACAAGCCAGGGAGGCCCGTCAAAGGGACTACCCTTCGGCAAAGCAACTATGGTCGCAACGCACAAAGTGAACGTACCCTGGCAAGGTGGGCTATCGCAGCGCGTGGGGTGCGCTGCGGTCATGGCCGGTCTCCTGACCGCAAGGGCCCAGCGAGACTTGATACAGGGGCCACCCTTCCGCACGGTGGCTCTCGTCACCGCACGCAAAGCGGACGTACCCAAAAACGTGGCAACGGGACTGCCCTCGGTGGCGGAAACTTCAGTCACCGCAACCAAAGTGCCCGTGCCCTCACACTGTCGCGCGGCTGAGAGCCTGCGACGACACCCCCTCAGGCCGGATGGGCTATCGCTCGGCGCTTTACGGTCACGGCCCGTCTCCTCACCACAAGGGCGCAGTGAGACACAATCCGTCCTGTGGGGTCTACGGGACTACTATTTGGTGCAGAGGCCAGTGCCGCTGCACGCAAACCAAACGTACCCACGGAAACCGGCACGGCTGAAAGCCGGCTTAGTCCGTCTCGAGGAAGGGAGCCACCTTCCGCCTCGACGAGTGGAGTTGCCGAGCCTGCAGAAGGGGCCAACACGGACCTTGCGGGTAAAGACCGACAAGGATCACCTTAGCACATGCAAAGCTCGGGTGAAAGACCATACAGACCAAACTCGGGGGTGACTGGCCCAGTCGTGGAGCCTTAGAGAAAGCCATCATTAAAAGTTGATGGTTATCTGCCCTCCTGCCTCACTGAAAATCACTGCCGGAGGGTGCCACATCTCATAAAACTTCTTTGCACCTAGGCGCTGCCACTCTCGGTGGAGAACGAACCAGACCTCCTTCCGTACTTTTTCAAGCACTTCGTGAAGCCCGGGTCGCTTGCCGTCAAAGACGGCACAGCACCGTGCTACCCACACTTGGTAGGAGCACTCAACAAGCAGAAGCACAAATTGCTTAGCCGCTTGTCCCGACAGAGGATGAAGAAAACGTACGGTGTTGAAAGGAACACCTGGGTGGCCAAACAAGCTAGCTATCCTTCGATGGAGGGCAGCTGGTAGTGCGCACTGAGAGAACACGTGAACCAGGTCCTCCATATTGCCACAAAAAGGGCACACTCCTCGTTGAGGAATTCTTGTGAAGGTCCTGAACTTTAGAGGCAGGCAATCTCTGGCCAGGCGATACATGAATGTAGCGCGCTTGGCGTCCAGGAAACTGGCAGTAATTAACCGCCAGTTAGGACTGTGTTGGGACAGGTCAAGTTCTCTATAGCGTTCAGGTAGCTCCGGAGCGAGTCTATCGACTGACTCGCGCAGTTCGATCGAAACTAAATCTATCTCGGGGTCGACCTCTTGGAGACGGGCCAAAGTAGAAGCGGCCCCGGCATAGAAGGCAGAAGGCGTTCCCGCTTGAGGCACGGAATTCGAAAATGCCCCGGGCGAGAACAACCTCAGCTTGGTGCTCAGGAAATACGACGCGAAGCTTCTAGTAAGGAGCATATCTGAATCAAGAGCTACCCGTGTCCATTTAACATGTAATGCCTTGGTCACAACGCTAAGGTCGGGAATACCTAGTCCTCCTTCGTCCTTACGCAACTTCAACACGGGGCGCGCCACAAAATGAGAGGCACGACCCCAAAAGAAATCGAACACTTTCTTTTCCAAGATAACTTTGGTATGGAGTTTAACTGGCATAACCGAACCTATGTACGTACGGAAACTAAACCACAGTGATCGAATTATCGTGGCCCTAGCTGTAAGCGGACAAGACAAGGCACAGAGTTTCTTAATCCTGTCGGTCAGGTTTTGCCTTGATAACCGCCAGTTTTAGGTAGTCAGGCCATCTGGCTCGAAATGGAAACCTAATATACGTAGGCGCTTCTGTATGGGGAGGCCATGAACAGGACGTGGACTGGAGGGAGCGCAGTTCAGATACATGACTGCGCTCTTCGACTTCTTTATTCTGGCGCCGCTCGCCGAGCAGTACCCCTCCATAACGTCCAAGACGGTGCAAACAGTTGCCTCGTCTGGGACAACAATAGAGAGGTCATCTGCATAGGCAAACATTGCCACCAGGGGGGAACCTGGCGGAAGGGGAAATCTACCTATGCTGGTGTCTTTAGAAAGTCTCTGCAAGAGCGGCTCGAATGCGAGCACGTAGAGAGCGTGCGACAGTCGCCCTGTCTGACTCCTCGGCACACACCGAACGACTCCGAGACGCGATCTTGTATGACAACAGCAGAACTAGGACGAAATTAGAGAGCCCTGACCATGCTGATGAACTTGGAACTGAAGCCCGCCTGCTCTAAAACTTTAAAGATGTACTTATGACTGATAATATCAAAAGCCTTTTCTTGATCAAAAGAACAAAGGATTCCACTTAGGTTGCGTGAATTCGACCATTCTGTAAGGTCCCTGATAGCAAAACCATGAAGTTGGCACGATCTACCTTGGACACAACACGCCTGGTACGGACCCAAAACAGTACTGAGCACTGGAGTGAGTCGAACGACAGGCACTTAGCTATGAGCTTGTAGTCACAGTTTAGGAGGGTGATGGGCCGCCAGGCTCTCAGGTCGGTGCAGTCTCGTCTCATCCTTGCACATCGAGAGTGATCCGCCCCTCCCTTTGAGTTGCTGACAGGGTCCCCTCACGGAGAAGCCTGTTTGTCAATGTGGTAAAAGCCCCCCCCCCCCCAAAACCTTCCAAAACTTGACATAAAACTCGACTGTCAAACCATCTGAACCTTGGCTGGGATTATGGTTCATGGATTTAAGGGCTGCAAACACCTCCTCTTCGACGAAAGGAGTGTCACAAATATCAAAGTCCTCGTAAGTTTTGGTGAAAGGAAACGAGTACGGAGTGGGAGGTGGTTCGGCATAAAGGTTTTTGTAGAACTGTCTTGCCGCCTCTAATACTTCGTCCTGCGTCTCCACTAAACTGCCTGTGTTAGGATTGACCAAAGTGGTTATCGTTGAGCTCTTCCTAGCCAAGTGTCTGCGAAGGACATTACTGCTGCACCAAGCCTCCATTTCCCACTGCTCTGCGCGTGCTGTGGCCCGCAAGCGGTCCCAGCGTCGCTGGAGCAGGACTCTATATTCTTTGCAAATCCACGTGACGTATCATCGCGTCGCACCGCCGCATAGCCGGTGCGGCGAGCATCAAACCGGCCAGATATTTTTCGTCGCAGCATGGCACCACCGCATGGCAGCAGCCAATCACAGCGCGAGCATATGAGTGACATCACGATGCTAGTGGCGCCATCTCCCTGTCGCCGCTCCCATCTACCGTCGATGGAGCGGTGTGAGCGTGGATTTGCTTGCATCGCCGACTGCGGCCGCGTGACAAACATCGAGTACATTTCCCTGGTGACGTGGTATTATTCTGGATTGAATAAAGTGATGCTGAAGTGTGCCTTTTCTGCACGACAACGCCCGTTTTGAAACCGCTAGTGAGATCAGAGATAGTGAGCAGCGATGCAAGGTCATTTCGCAGGTAAACACAGCTTCCGGCGTATCTGCGCTGGCTCGCTTCGCTTCCACATTTGCTCTTCACATCGATAACGTAATAATGTATGCTAACGCATTACATACGAGCGCAATGCTTGATAGTCTTGTCAAAACAAGTGCTCGATGACGAGCTCGCATGTGAACGGCGTAGGCGACGGCCGGCGCCCGCGATGCTAGGCCTACCTGTCGGAGTCATGAAATCAGCTGTTGCCGTGGTTACGACGTGCTTGTCGTTCACGAATGCGATTTATTATTATTTTTACAGAACCAAGCGTGGCTGTGCAATGTTGTTTGTTTTGAGGAGACCAAATTTTGAGCCTCATTACGAGGACCCTGCATGCCGAGGCGCCGCATGGGGGCGGAGCCTGCCGCTGATAGCTCCTTTGCCCTCGTGTGTCCCGAAACGTCGCATGCGCATGCGGCACGCCGCATGCGACGAGAGCCAGCGTGCTTCAGTGGTCGAACAGGTGCAGGAGCACTGTCATCCATTGAGAGAGCGAGGGTGCTTTCGCTGCGCCGAGAGCAGCCAGCAGCAGTTTGCAGTGCTCTCGCCTGAAAAGCGAAGTAGGCGCAGCACGATGAGTCAGGTGGCCCTTGAACGTTAGAATCTCCGAAGTTTTCTTCAACCGGCGTGTGCGGTGGCAATGGTAGCAACCGTGTGTAGTTTGACACCGCTGTTTTGTACATATGGCTACGATGACAGCTGGACGTTTGCCCAATGCGTCATTGCACAAACATACCAGGTATTAGGATAATGAAGAACGTGTGGCTGATTGACTTCACGCGTATTTTGCTGCTACACCACAGAATATGCTGGGGTTTAAATGTTTCGATCCCATGGTCTCCCCACTCATTATCCCCTTCACCTGCCCTCCGGGAGCGCGCCGCATTCCAGTGGCAGGTTGAGTGGCCCTGCTCTCAGTGCTCTGCCCCCACTCCTCACTGCCCTGCCCTTCTACTCCTGTTTTCTCAATGGAATTCACCATTTGTCTGTGCAACTGACCTTTAGTCCGTGCAGAGCAAATGGAAAAGTATCATCATAATGAACTGGCACATGCTCTTTGTCTTCCTCTTCCTGTTTATCTTGTGCTTTGCTCAAGGAGATCGATTTGTCTGGTGTGGGATGTGTCTTGTGACTGCTGCCGCGCGAGCGTGCCGGAGCACGAGCGGCCCGTGCCCGCGGAGAGAGACGATACACACGACAGCTGCTCAGCTAACGAAAAAGGGCCCCCCACTTTATTCGGGGCAGAATATATACAATCTCAGGGGCGCCACATGCTAGTGGCAGCCGAACTAAATGACTGAAGGGTGGCGACCTCTACATCTCCCCCTTGAAGACCAGACGGAAGACGCCAGACACGGCACATCACAAGTTCAGGCGGTTCGGAGGCACAACACGGCGGCCACTACGTGTTCGTGTCACACCATCACTGCGGTCACTGTCTGCAGGGGGCAGTCCAAGGGAATCGGGTGGTTGCACTGTAGTAGTTCGCTGGGGTTCCAGAGGGGGCAGTGTTCGCTGTGGCTCCTGCTCCTCATACGGCGGTGGTTCCACCCTTGGCGCAGGAGGTGCAAAAGGCACTAGGTGACGCCGGATGCGTTGTAGGACGCCACCCTGCTCCATTTCCACGACATAACTTCGTGGTCGGCGTGCTGGGCTAAGCACTGTAGCTTTGACCTGATCAGGTCGTACCCAGACACACTGGCCCGTTCGGAGCGATGACAGATCTTGAGCTCTGTGATGCCTGTTAAAGTCAGCGGCCTGTTTCTGCTTGTAGGCTGCATCTTTTCTCTTCACGTCTTTCCTCGACGGCCAGTGAGGACATAACTGGGAGTCCTGTTTTGGCACTTTGGTTCGGAGTTGTCGTCCCATCAAGAGCTGGGCCGGGCTGAAGCCATCGACTCCTGGGGTGTCCCGGTAGCTGAGCAAGGCCAGATGAGGGTCTGTTGCTTTGCGAAACAACTCCTTGATGGTCCTGACCATTCTCTCCGCCTCACCGTTCGATTGCGCATAGTGCGGGGTGCTGGTGACGTGGTCAAAGCCGTAAGATGCCGCCAACGCTGCAAACTCGCGTGAAGAGAACGGTGGACCGTTGTCTGATCTGACTTCTCGCGGAATCCCATGCCGGGCAAAGATGCTTTTGAGAATGTCAATGACTGCCTGAGTCGTTGTGCTCCTCAAGGTTACAACTTCAGGGTACCTGGAGTGGTAGTCCACCACCATGATGAATGTCTGGCTGCGGAGGTGGAACAGGTCCATGCCGACAAGTTCCCAGGGACGTCCAGGTAGGACCGTGGAGACCAGGGGCTCTGCAAGGTTCACCCGAGTGGAAGCACATTGCTCGCAGTTAGTTACCAGAGAGGTAATGTCTGCCGAAATGCCAGGCCACCAAATGGACTCTCGAGCGAGAGCTTTCATCCTGTTGATGCCTTGGTGTCCTTCGTGCAACAGCGTCAAAACAGCCGGCCGAAGAGAATGCGGGATGACCATCCTGGCGCCTTTCAGTAGAACACCGTTGCAGACAGAGAGCTCATCTGCTGCTGAGGCATAGTGGGAGAGATGCAGTGGCAGTTTGGACTTCAACCATTCTGGCAGAAGGAGGTGAGAGCTCTGCATTCGCCATCGGACTCTTGTGCTTGTCGCACGTCCTCTGGGCTTAGTGGCAAGGCTTCTGACATGCCGCTGACCACTTGAACTACAAACAATTCCACGGTGTCCAGGGGGAGGGACGCCTTTTGGGTGATGCGTGACAAGGTATGTGCCGTAGCTAACAGCTTTCCTGGCACGTGGAGCATTCGGAACTGGTATCGCATGGTCTTTAACCTGAGCCTCTGTATGCGAGGCGGCAGCATGTCCAGCTTCATCTTGCCGAAAAGAGAAACGAGTGGTAGGTGATCTGTCTCAACATCAAAGGTGATGCCGCGGACGAATTCGTCAAACCGTTGGATAGTCCATGTTGTTGCCAACGCCGCTTTCTTTTCTGTCTGGCTGTAACGCTGCTCTGTCTCGGTCATTGATCTCGAAGCAAACGCAACTGGGCGGCGCTCTCCAGAGGGCTGTGTCTGCAGCAAGACTGCGCCCAGTCCGAATGAGCTTGCGTCAGCCGAAACTGTGGTGGCGTATGATGGATGGTACTTGGCCATGCAACGGTCTGATGTCAGGAGTTCCTTGATTTTCTCGAATGCAGCATTTTGTTCATGCTGCCACACCCAAGTCACAGACTTGTTTAGAAGTGCTCTGATGAGAGCTGTGACCTCTGAGATGCAAGGCGAAAACCGGCCAAGATGGTTCACCATTCCGAGCAGTCACCGGACACCTGCGATGTCGGTTGGAGCCTCCATGGCTTTGATTGCTTCGACCTTGTCTGGACTTGGCCTGATGCCTTGTGCTGAAACGATGACTCCTAGGAAGGAGACTTCGGAGACACCAAAACGACACTTGTCTTGGTTCAACGTGATGCCTGCTTTTGCAAGGCGAGACAGCACCTGGCTCAGTCTGGCATCGTGCTCCTCGCGGGTGCGCCCAAAGACCAGAATGTCGTCTATCATATTGGCGACTCCTTCCTGGCCATCTGTTTTTGGAAGTACTCCGGCGCGGAGGTGATGCCAAAGGGGAGCCGGCAGAAGCAGTATCGGCCAAATGGGGTGATGAACGTTGTGAGCTCTTGGGAGTCTGCAGATAGTTTAACCTGATGAAAACTGGCTGTTGCATCCAGCTTGGAGAAAACTGTTGCGTCGCCAAGGAGGCCAAGGACTTGCTCTACAGTTGGTAGGATGTGGCGTTCCCGAAGGACCACCTTGTTCAGCTGAGTCAAGTCAACGCACAGCCGGTAGGAACCATCGGCTTTCCGTACTACGAGACCAGAGCACCTCGGGGTTGGGTTATCGACCCTGCGGATCACGCCTCCTTCCTCCAGTTTGTCAAGCTCGTGATGGACGACCCCGCGTAGCGGGATGGGAATCCTGCGAGGCACACTTAGGGAGAAGGGTACGGCGCCAGGTCTCAGAAGGATAGTGTACTCGTCCTTGAGGGTGCCCAATCCCTGGAAGAGCTCAGCACGCAATGTTGCTTTCGGAGTCTGAAGTTCGTCGAGAAACTTTACAACTTCCAGAGCTTGAAGCGCCGGCAGTCCAAGAAGAGGTACGGTGAGAGACTGGATCACGTACAAGCGCTGAGAGCTCATTTTCCCGTGCCACCGAAGTCTCGCCATGTACGAACCCAGCACGCGCAGCGGCTGACCGCCTGGTCCGGTGAGCAGGCTGTTGACGGGGTCGAGCTTGGCCGGCAATGCAGGGAAGTCGCTCGGAACGGCGGACACCTCGGCTCCGGAATCGACCTTGAACTGCGCTGTGTAGTTGTCAACGGTGATGTCGACGAACTTTGCCGCGGCGAGCGTCCCGACAGCGTGTAGCTGAATGGAGCCGAGCTTCTGTTTTGCCTGCCGCGCGCGGCACACTTCTGCAAAGTGTCCTTTTTTTTTGCAGAAGTTGCAGACGGAGTTTCGAGCAGGGCAGTTAGAATGTGGATGTGGCGCGCGGCCGCAGAATTCACATGTTGACGGCTGGCAGGAGCGCTCTGCTTTCCGCGGGGGTGAAGGCCGCTTATCGTAGTTGCGGCGGCGAGAGGCGAACTTCTTACCTCGTACGGCGTCGAGGTGTAGCTCACGGGAGTGCTCTGCGCAGTTTTGAGGCAACGTTTTTTCTTTGTCGGCGTCTTCTGATTGACGGGCCTGCGTCCATGCTTCCTTGAGCATCAACTTCGCGTTCCGGCAAAGCTGGTTTGAAAGGCGCGAGTCGCGCAGGCCGACGACGAATCTATCGCGTACAAGCCTTTGCTCCACCTCAGCTGACGGATAGTTGCACCGCTTCACCATTCTACACAGTTCGGCGTAGTAGGCGTCGACGCTCTCGTCGGGTAACTGAACACGCCGGTGAAAACGCGACGACTCGTACAGTTAATTCGCCGGATGCACGAAGTGGTCGGTGAAGCTGGCGGCAACCGCTTGAAATGAGGCGAGTGATGCGGTGTCGAGCGAGAACGTCTCAAGAAGTGGGCGGGCCTCCGGCCCCATGCAGTACAACAACGAGCGTACCTGCATGTCGCCGGATGCTTGAGTCAGGCCGGAAACGACGGCGTAGTCTTCGTAGCGGCTGAGCCATGCTGCCCAGGTTCTCGGGTTCACGAAATCGAACGGTGCGGGCGGCTGGAGGTTGAGGCTGAGCTTTTTCGGCGCCACTCTGTCGAGGGCCATCGTCGTGCGGTACGGGCGAGTTCGGGATGAGGGGGCGTTACGCAGCCACTTCTGACACCATGTCTTGTGACTGGTGCCGTGCGAGCGTGCCGGAGCACGAGCGGCCCGTGCCCGCGGAGGGAGACGATACACACGACAGCTGCTCAGCTAACGAAAAAGGGCCCCCCACTTTATTCGGGGCAGAATATATACAATCTCAGGGGCGCCACATGCTAGTGGCAGCCGAACTAAATGACTGAAGGGTGGCGACCTCTACAGGATGCAGTGACTTTAATGAGCAGAGAGCAAGTGCAGAGAGGGGAAAAGATCAAGAGACAGTGGAACAGGCAGACAGAAGCAAACAAAGGTATAGAAGCATGAGAGAGCGAGACAGAAAAAGAGAGTGAGACAGAAAAAAAAATGGTGGGAGAGATATACAAAGACACCAATCGAGCAACTGAGAAGAAACGGTGCAAAAACGGGCAAAGAATGATGACGGAACTGAAGCACTGACGAGCATCTCCCGTAGTCTGTGCCTATGTTGGGAATGAAGTTGTAGGATGATGAAAGTTTGGTCTTTTACTCTGTTGTTATGCAAGATGACTACTTAATTTATGTATTCATCAAGGCAATTAATGTGTACGAACGTGAGAGATACTGCACCGGAGTGCATAGTAGCTCAAACTTGGAAAAAGACAAAGAAAAGAATCAAGGGGGAGCAGAAAGGTCAACCTATGTGCTCCTCCTACCTCTTTTCTCGAATTTGTCTGTTTTCTAAGTTTGCACTAATATGTACTCCATCGATGTTAATCAACTCGCCCAACAAGTCTTACTCAATCGTTTGAGATACTCGTTTAGTGTCTCATTACTTTTGATAACTAGGCATTTGGTAAATTGGGCATTTATTCAGGTTTCATGCAATTGGAATTAACTAGCTTTTACTGTACATGCATCTCTGGGCTGCTTGAGCATGGCAGAAGCGCTCTTACAAAGATTGTTCAAAGCGCCGAAGGCCACAGTAAATGGTCATTGCTTCCCAGTCTTCTGTCACACATGTGAAGATAGGCATGGTAGTCACGCAGAACATTTTCTTGGGCTTTTTGGTACTCAATAATAAAGGAATAAGGCGCCAGTGAGATGAGCACGAGAATGGGCACAGATGTACGCCTGCTAAAACTCAATTTTATTAAAAAAAAAGACAAGAGGTGTACATATACACTTGTCAGCTCCATTCGTGTGGTGTACCTAAAAGTGATAAAAAGTGTATGTGGCTGCCTATCATGACAAAAAACAAATGCTTCATTTACACTATGGTGGCCATATGTGTGCACACATGTCAGGGGCATTTTTTTCTTCTTTCACACCCTAAGGCGGCACTCTTTCCTGTCCCTCGCTTGGCACTCCTCTGATGAGTTAGCTTTTATTGACAATATTGAATTTGTTGTTTTTTTTTGCCGATCGTTTGCTTTAAATGACTGTTTCAGGATTTTACTTACAGCATACTGCAGGCCCGCAAGAGGAGCGAATGTGCATAAGAATGTATTTAGAAAAGGCAAACAAACATAAGAATGTGTCGGGAATACATGTTGAGCAAGAAACAACACCAATTTAGAGCAAAAAGAAACGCCAAAAGAAGGAAGGTGTGAATGGCATAATTATTAAGAGTGATGTAAATTTGCAGCTGCTGCTTTAGAATGGCCTGTCTAGTGTTGGCACAAAAAAAGTACTAATTAGTGCACAGGTGAGACGGTGTTGTACAATAGGCGTAGAAGGTGCTGTGTACAGTAGATTCTCAGTAAACGGAACCTGAAGGGACCGGTAAATTATGTGTCATTTAACAGGAGTTCCATTTACTGAGAGGTGTACATGGGTGCAGAATACAAGCCTAAAACCAAGCATTGCAGAGGCAATAGTTCTGTTTAAGCAGTAGTTGCGTGTAACAGATTTACGTTTACTGAGAGTCTACTGTACTTTTTCAGGGACGTGCCCAAGTACCTCTTGTTGCAACCCTGTTCTTTGCATCTGGTCCTCGTCCAATGGTGTGTGTGTGTGCTCATTTCTCTGCAGGTGGAAAAGCAGCAGCAGTCAGGCTGTGAGCGAGGTGTGCCCCATGTGCCTCTGGCGGCATTGCCGGGGAGCTGAAGCGCGGGCATCGTTGGCCGGCATGCGTGGACGCCCCCCTCGGGCTGCTCTCCACAGCACCGGCCAATAAGCCATGAGTACGCCCCCCCTCTTGTGTCTCTCTCTTTTCCTTATAGTGTGCTGTATGTACGCAGCGTAACACCAAAATCACCTTCAACATGTGTAATAACTGAATGCATTTGAAGAGCACAAAAGCGTTCATTTCGCTAGATGTTTGAGTGGAAATGCACTTCTTGCAAACACATACTTTGAAATCCTTTGTGCACATCACAAGTAATCATTGCTTATGCACAAATTCAACATCTCATTTTGTATTGCTCACAAGTGTACCGTTATAAGCAAAAGCCCTTGATAGTGTCTATGCCATAAAAGATGTTATTTTTTGCTAGGTGGGCATGGAGGCAGAAATTGTGTGTGAATACAGCCCAAATATTAATGTTTCACCAGTGCCATGTTGCATATGGCTCGGTCAAAAGAAAGTTTATTTTTTGTTCGCAGAGTTTTGATAGAAATTGTACTTCAAAACCATATCAGATTTGGTTAGTTAATAATTGTCTTAGAAAGAACTCGGACGACTAATAAAGACAACTAAAAGACGAGATATATGCAGGGAGGGCTGCACTTTTCATAAAGCATGTTTTTAGGGACAGCTTTCTTAGTATTTGGCAAATCTCAAAAAGACTAGATATGTTAATGTGTATTCATATTCTGAACAATCTGCACATACGTTTAACGAAGTAGCTTGTATAGTGTACACACATTCATAAATATGCATCACCAAACTCTCAAGTGTGTTTTGGGAGACTAGTTGGGGGACGTATTTTGTTAACCTAAACTGCACTTGGGATGGGACACCAGAGTAGAGGCTGACGGGAGGAACGTAGACTAACTACTGATTTATTAAAATCACATAGTCTTGTCTCTTCGAACAATGCATGCATGCAAAAAATAGTCGCCACCGCGTGACAATAGTACACTCCCCCCAAAGGGCATGTAAAATCGTGGATTACTGTACATGGACCCAGGTAGGTGTGTCACTGATACATCGGTCTATTTTTCTAGGGAAGAGCTTGCTTTTCTTGCTTAGACAGGGGTCTTGATGGAAGTGCGTACTAGTATCATCCTGCAGTCATGACTGTTTTTTGAGCCACACACATTGCTCCAGGAAGCAAGATTGTGTGATTGCAGTAAATCACTTATTAATCTACATTCATCCTCTCTGCTTCTACTCTAGTTTCCTGTACTGAGTGCTCTTTGAGTTTACATAATATCAAACTCATAAATCCAAGTTATGAATCTCCCCTGGAAAACTAGCTTCTGTAGGGCCAGAGTAGAGGTTTCTGCCTTGAACCATTTGTGTGTATGAGGTGTTCTGCGTTATTCCCTAAGTTCAAGCTCTTTTTATTTTTCCTCTTAGGATTCACTTAGCTGTTCCACGGCTCTGGTGTTTGTGCCAAGTGATTTGTTTCATATACCGTTCACATTACTGCTTTTTCTGTGATGGTACTGTACACTTTGTTTGCCATACAGCAAGCACTCCTCGGCAATGACGATCACAAAATTGTGCACCATCTAAGCCTTTAGAAGAGCAGTGCAGGTGCCTCACAGTGAAAACAATGTGGTTTAGTTTTTTTTTTTAATTTAATAATACTGTCAACCCTCGCTTGAGGGTCATAACAGGGAGGGAGTACAATATGAGTACAAACAGAACACCTAAAAAAACCACTAAGCAATAAACACAGTAAAAGAGAATGGGCAGTACTTCAACCATTACCAAAATAAGCATCAATTTCTCTGTCAAAAGTTTGCACATCGGTACTGTTGATAACATGTTGGGGTAAAGAATTCCATTGTTCTATAGCATCCGGGGAAAATGACCACCGAAAGATGTCAGTGCGAGCGCTGAAAGGTTCAATGGGGGCATCATGATTCAATCTAGTGCTATGTTTTCCGGGAAGGCGTATGTACTCATCTTTAGGTATCTTGAATATCCCTTGGATTATACGAAATAATGTTTTAAGTTTTTGTTTCCGTCTTCGAATTTCCAGTGATTCTAAATTGCATGAATTTAGCATATCAGTTACTGAATCCCGCCTTCTATATCTAGAGCACACAAACCGAGCTGCACGCCTCTGAATACGTTCTAACTTGGTGACCAAGTGTTTCTGGTGAGGGCTCCAAATCACAGAGGCGTATTCCAGTCTAGGTCTAATATATGTGTGGTATGCAAGCAGCTTTACGTGTTTCGGTGTTTTATGCATCTTTGCTCGTAGAAAACACAGTTTTTTAAATGACTCGGAACAAACCGATTCAATGTGACAGTGCCAAGTTAGGTTGTTCGTAATTGTCACCCCTAAGTATTTAAAATGGGGCGTTTTACTGAGTTTATTGCTCCCGATGTTGTACTGGAAATCGAGAAAATTTTTCTTGTTGGTAATGTGTGCATATGTTGTCTTTTTTTTAAAGTTAATTTGCATATCCCATTCGCAACACCACAATTCCAAATCTTCAAGGCACTTATTCATCTCGAGTTGATCATCAGTACAGCTTACAGGCATATAAATCAAACAATCATCAGCATAAAATTTCATCTTAACAGGTGGCTTTACAATAGTACTTATATCATTTATGTACAACAAAAACAACAGCGGGCCAAGCACGGACCCTTGCGGCACGCCTGAAAACACATCTAGCGTAGCTGAAAAAGAACCATCAATCCTCACTGCTTGCTTGCGTTTACTCAGGTAGGTGCCAATCCAATTTAAAATTTCATCACTGAATCCCATTTTACTCAGTTTAAAAAGCAGTTTAGTATGCAGACATTGCAGACAGCTACTAAAAGGCTGCAGCAAAGGCTAGTTGGTACGTCATGTTGTGATGCATTGCCAGGTATGATACGAACCGAAAAAAACACAGAGTGTTGTTTCTCATGTCATACCTAACAGTGAGAAACATGGTGTGACATGGCGTTGCACAAAGCACTGCAAGGCATTAAGAATGGAATTCCAACATATACATGTGGCCAGTGCTGAGGGGCGGTCTTTCTTGTAGCTTACTGACAGCCACATTCTGAGCATCGCACACCTTTCATACATACTATTTGTGCATGTCTTGACGCAAATGGCTGCATAGAAGGGAGCTGGCGTGCTGCAGGTAGTGGGAACCTGACCGAAGCGGAGCTTCTGGAGCGGGCTGCAGAGGAGCGGGCGGCCATAGTTGCACGCTACGACCGTGGCCGAGAAAAGGAAAATGTCGCCCAAATCGACCCCTGGGAGGATCCAAAGTTTGAGCTGTACCACGTCACTGACAAGTACGGCTTCATCCAGTGAGTGTCCATCGCAGCAGAAGATCGTTTTAGGGCTGCTTTTGTCAGGATAACAGGTTATTTTCGAAGCCAAACCTACCTGTTATTTCATACTGAAATCATGGCACTCTGTGATGTCAATTTATATTTTTTGGTGTGTGCCTTTAACAGAGTAAAGCCTCTCAAAAACATGCTGCATTTGGTTTTTTGCTTGTGCTGCTGTGGTGCTACAGAGACTGCAGTGCTTGGCTGCTGACCTGAGAGATCAATCAATCAATCAATCAATCAATGAAGCTTTATTTTCATAAATAGATATATGCAATTACAGGGATTATTTGGACCGATAGCCTAAAGTGGCTAGTGGACGGTCCAATACAATGTGCAACATAAAAAAGTGTACAGGTCAGCTCTGAGGTAACAACATAAAAAAAAAACAATCATGTGATACAGATAACACAGTAATACATTTTTTCTTGCAGATATGCATACTTATTAGCTTGCAGCTAGTTTCTATACATAGGCACTTATTAAAAAAATACAATGAAAATCGAATCACACACACATGCTTACATGTCTTGACTGCACAGAAAAAATGATTTACATGCCATGCTGAAATTACGTGCCGTTTTAATCTCTAGGGGGACCGTGTTCCATATTTTTGTTCCACTAAACTGTATCAGTCTTTCTCCGTAAACATTAAAGCATTTGGGCAGATTGAAATTACCATTCGAAGCATGTCGCGTATTGCGTTTAGGAATTGAAAAAAGATCAGCAGGCAAAGGTGAATTTCTATTAATTATGTTATTTACTGAAACAGCAATTTTGTAGTCACGCAACATCGGAACCGAGAGAATGCGTTGTGATTGGAAAATATTACTTACTGATTCACCTTGGCTTAAGATTTTCAGTGTACGCTTTTGAAGTCGTTCAAGAGTTTTTAGATAACTGTTGTACGTCACACCCCACGATTCCAGACAGTAACCTATGTGACAATGACACAATGAAAAGTAGAGTGTGCGGAGTATAGCTTGTGGAAAATATTGGCGAGCTTTTATTAGAGAATAGCAGCCATAGGCTAGCTTTGCGCACACACTTTGTACTTGCTCATGCCAGTGTAAGTGTTCATCAAAAGTGACGCCTAAATATTTAAAACAAGGAACTTGTTGAATAGGAGTGTTGTTTATTGTTAGGTTAAGAGATTCAGCGTCAATATGTTTCCTACGAGAGTGAAACACCATATACTTTGTTTTAGTACAGTTAACTGTCAGCTGATTCCTGGCAAACCATTCCGAAATGTTCGATAAATCGGTCATCGCGTCATTTTGTAAATCTGCTAAGGAGTGTCCTGTGAAAACTAAAACAGTGTCGTCCGCGTACATCAGTGCCCTTGACCTTTGTAGGGATCGCGGGACATCATTAATATAAAGAGAGAACAATATAGGGCCCAAAACTGAACCCTGTGGCACCCCGCATTTAATATAACCGTAGGATGATTTGATGTCACCAATGACTACCTTTTGTTTGCGTGCCGATAGATAACTAGAAAAAAAATCAAGCGAGTTACCTTTTATCCCATAAGAATGCATTTTTTCCAGTAAAATGGAATGACTAATAGCATCAAATGCCTTTCGTATGTCTAAAAATACTGCTATTGCTATGTTGTTTTCATGTAGCGCGGAATTAATATATTGCGTAAGCATCGAAACAGCAGTTGAAGTGGACCTGTTTGCAACAAAGCCGTGTTGCTGGGGACAAAGTACATTCTGTTCACCCAGGAAGCGCCTTAATTGCGACGAAATTAGTTTTTCAAGCGTAGTGTTAATACTACTCAGAACAGATATTGGTCTGTAGCTGTCCGGAAGATTCCGATCACCAGATTTGTACACTGGTATTACTTTGGCGGTCTTAAGTATACTAGGATAAGTTTTAGAGGAAAATGCATGATTAAATATATGGCATAAGGGACCACACAATACATCAATATTCTCCTTTAAAATCCTTGATGATATGGCGTCATGTCCAGCTGCCTTGTTCCCTGGTAACTTATTAATTACTTGTCAGATGTCATCCTCAGTTACATCACATAAATCAAAATTATTGGTAACAGTACAGGGTGCATTTAAATTCTGCATATGAGTAGGGAACTTCCTCGCAAGGCTGAGACCAATATTAGTAAAGTAAACGTTAAAGTTGTCGGCCACTTCACGAGTTGGATTATCAGGTGTAATGCGTTCTTTGCTACCCATGCCAGTGACGTCTTTAACAATCTGCCATATTTTCTTCGTGTTACCATCATTTTTTTTCACTAGGTTGGTATAGTAGCACTTCTTGGATTTTCTTATCATTGCTACTGACTTGTTTCTGTAAAGCTTAAAATTTTGATGGTAGTATTCATTGCTCCTGTTATTTTTCCATTTGTCGTAGTAAAAATCTTTCAGCTTCAAAACCTCAAGTATATTTCTATTCATCCATGGACATATGGCATGGTCATAATTTCGGCGCGAACAGCTACGCGTTGATCGTTCAATGACATCCATAATGCATTTTACAATGTTATCACACTCGACGTCCACGTCTTCATCATAGAGGGCATCAAAATTCGTTCCTTGTAGTAGTTTTTGCACGGAATTATAGTCGACACGTGTTGTTCGTTTAATGGCAGGTATGGCAGGAGCACAAATGTATTTCTGGGGTAAAAATAGAAAGGTGGGATTGTGATCCGCAATAGCAACAGCGTATACGCCTGCCGATACATCCAGGTCAGCGTTACACAACACGTGATCAATAATCGACTCCGAGTGGTCTGTTATGCGAGTGGGTGATGAAATAACATTTCTCAGATTAACTGATTGTAGCAAAAACACGTAATCATCACATGTATCTCCAGACACGTCTATGTTAATATCACCGCAGACAATAATAGGTGCTTTAGAGGCCACAATGGGTATCATGGTACTTTCCATCACAGTAATGAAATCAGCCACACTGGAAATTGGTGGACGATATATTACACCGATGATGACACCATTCTGAAGATGAATAAAAAGAGTCTCTGCCGATGAACTGCAGCATGAGCTATTGCTAAGGTGAACGAAACTAAAGCAGTCTTTGATAAATAGCGCCACACCCCCTCCTCGTGTAGCACTGTTTCTAGCTTGCGAAAGCATGACGTAGCCGGGTAAATGAACTGATTCGCTTTCTCGAAGCCAAGTTTCAGTTATAGCGATGACATCATATTTAAACGAGTGCTGTGATAAGTACGAAAGCACATGATCGAAGTTCTTTTTTATGCTGCGAATATTACAATGTAATACTGCGAAATGATCCTGCTGCAGCCATATGTTTTCAACCTCAGAAAAAGAAAACGCCATTTAAAAGTATAAGAAACTCCAGGTTACAGAAACAAGCAGGCAATCCTCAAACAACTTTGGAAAGATCCTCAGCACATGTGACGTGAAGCACACGTGAATTATCCGCCTTCCGCATCAAAATCTTTCCACCAGTTACCCAGGTGTACTTCCACTTTTTTTCCCGCTTTGTCTTTAGAGCGGCTGTTAGCAATTCCTTGTTTGCCGGACACAAGTGCTCATTTATGTACACTGGAGATGCGATGCCCTGAAAACCTAAAGCTGTCGTGTTAAGTCGTTGCTTCTTAGCAGTCTTCAGAACATTATCTTTCACAGCTCTCGAAAGAAACCTAACTATGATGTTAGGTGTTGACGCGTTCCTTGATGGCACTCGGTGCACGACGTCTATATCTGTTTCTTTGATTTCAACTTTCAGGTAGCTGGCAAGCTGTTGCATTGTGGAGACCAAGTTTTCCCCCTCCATCACAGGAACTCCCTTTATTTCTAGGTTATTTTGTCTACTATATTGTTGCTGAGCAGTGAGTTCCTGTTTTATTTCCTTAATATTCTTGACGAGGCGACTGTTTTCGCTTTTAATCGCGTGGTTTTCTGCTCGCACCGCAGCAAGTTCTTTCTTTGTTTCGCCAAGTTCCACCCTGAATTGCTCAAATTGCTCATTCATGAAGTTGATTGACTGTCTAAGAGTTTGTAGTTCGCCTTCAATAACCTTTGTGATGTCTTTCTTTAGCTCATCATGTTTGGTATCAATTCTAGCAGAAAAATCTGACAAGGCCTTAACTAGTTCCTTCACAGTAGTGGGCGGCTTATCACCCATAATACCCGTCATTCCCTGAGCAGTCCAGGAACAAAGAAGCCAAAGTACAAGTCGTTCACGTACCTGCGTAAAGCAAGGTAAATTTTTAGCTGTCGTTCAGCCTCGTTGCTGCCTGGACTGCCCGTGAAATGACGGCTGACCCTCGCTGGAGCGGTGGTTTTATAGCAGAGCTGTGACGTATTTCAGGGGGCGTTGTTCCCGGTTCTGCCCACTTGATTCCTAGTAGCGCTGACCGCTTCCGAAGACACCTTGCCCGCTTCCACCACCAGCGTTCTCTTACGGGCGCTGCGTTCTTGTAAATGCTACGGCTCTCTTGCTGCCTGGACTGCCCGTGAAATGACGGCTGATCCTCGCTGCCACCACCAGCGTTTCCACCACGAGCGTTCTCTTACGGGCGCTGCGTTCTTGTAAATGTTACGGCTCTCTTGCTGCCTGGACTGCCCGTGAAATGACGGCTGATCCTCGCTGGAGCGGTGGTTTTATAGCAGAGCTGTGACGTATTTCAGGGGGCGTTGTTCCCGGTTCTGCCCACTTGATTCCCAGTAGCGCTGACCGCTTCCGAAGACACCTTGTCCGCTTCCACCACCAGCGTTCTCTTACGGGCGCTGCGTTCTTGTAAATGCTACGGCTCTCTTGCTGCCTGGACTGCCCGTGAAATGACGGCTGATCCTCGCTGCCACCACCAGCGTTTCCACCACGAGCGTTCTCTTACGGGCGCTGCGTTCTTGTAAATGCTACGGCTCTCTTGCTGCCTGGACTGCCCGTGAAATGACGGCTGATCCTCGCTGGAGCGGTGGTTTTATAGCAGAGCTGTGACGTATTTCAGGGGGCGTTGTTCCCGGTTCTGCCCACTTGATTCCCAGTAGCGCTGACCGCTTCCGAAGACACCTTGTCCGCTTCCACCACCAGCGTTCTCTTACGGGCGCTGCGTTCTTGTAAATGCTACGGCTCTCTTGCTGCCTGGACTGCCCGTGAAAAGAGATGTCAACATGATTGCTGCTATAGTATTCGATTTTGATGAAGCCGAATAGCTCAAGGCCAATGTACTGTTCCGATGTTGGTGCAAGTTGGAAAAATCCCGGCTGGTTGAAATCGTCCATGTATGCTCTCCACTATGGTGTCTCTCATAGCCTTAGTTGCTTTTGGACATCATTAAACCAAACCCAGCGGCGAATGTTGTGCAATAATGACTTTATCCCTTAGCCAGGTCAGTTTTTGTTGAACTGTTTCACTTCCCTGAGAATGCTCTACAGTAAAAGCTTGTTTAGCTTGGATTTCCTGGGACCGGAGAAATGTTTGAATCAACCAAATTTCGAATCATCGAAATTGTCAAGAAAACAATAAACAAAAATAGATTTTGTCAATACTTTTTTCTTCTCTTCATGAATACGTAAATTCTGTTCTTAACAAAGATTAGAGCAGTTTAAAAGCCGCAATTTCTGCGACTTGTACCATCGTTTACAAATGTGACTGTTTATTTATTTATTTATTAGAATACCCTCAGGGCCCGTAGGGCATTACGGAGGGGGTGGGTACAACATATATAACACACAAGAAAAAAAGACAAAATAAAGAAACTGTTGCTCAAGACCTTCTAGTCTCTACTAACCTGAAACGTGCTTTCCCAAAATTAACTAGAAATACTCTTATCATTGTTACCGTACAGTTGGCAGAGATGGCAATGGTGATGTAAACTACTCTGCCTTGTTTTGGTGGTGCAAAAACACCATTTTGGTTCCTTTATGTTATATACTTCATGCTCGGAATGCTCTGGAAGTAGCTCTAATTGGCTGCATTGTGGTCTAATATGATGCAAGTAACGGGAGTTCTATGCCATTTAACAAGACATCAGTTTGCCCGTGCCAGAGAATGTGTCTCAATTACCCGATTTTCCAAATTAACTTTTGATGCATCAACAAGCATTTGGTGTGTATTTTTTTTTTCTCGTGGACCCGACTGCAGCCTTGAATCTGCAATATTTCTTTTTGTAAATTGAGACACTTTCAAGAATTGGCGAAAATGAGCGATACTCTTTGGTAAAAAAAATGGTAGCATGAATAAACTATAGTTTGGGCTTACTGGTTCATTGAGCTGTGGCAAGTAAACAAATTTGTAAATTGTTTAATGTTTGGGTGCTAATATAATGAGTAAAGCATTCCTGTAATGGTGTCATGCCACTATAGTTTTGTCGTTAGCTATCTAATCTGTTCATTCACAGAGTCTGCTTTCTCAGGTAATAGGCAGGTGATCTCAATTGCTTGGTTTCATAAAAAAACGTGTTAAGGAAAATGGTGGCATGCTTGTATTTCACTGGAAAAGGAAGAGTGTATCTGTTCTCTGGCATTTTCTTGTGCATCCTCCGTTTTCGGTAATCCTCAGCAACTGTAGTGACCTGGCGGTTACTGTGACAAACTGCTGTGCCGAAAAATGCGGCTTTGACCCTGGCCACGGTGGTCAGATTTAAGCGGAGATAAAGTAAGAGGCTGTGTTACGGCATGTTAAAGAACACAAGGCGGTCAAACTTATTCAGAGCATTCAACCTCTCTCATATTCAGCCAGAGTCTCTTAAGGTGTTAGATCAAACAACCAATCTTGCCTAACATTTTCTACTTCATAGAACTGTGAAGAAATTTGGGATCTACTGAAGCAACATCTGTAACGATACACTTAATTTTAGTTTTGCCCCCTCATTGACTCTGACATTGTCATGTAAGTGCTGTCATAATGAGCCATGGGCATGACTGATGACAGTCAGCTGGTTATTCAAAAAAAAGTGAAATGGATTTTAACTGTTAGATATGTTCAGTTCTGAAAAGAAGACAAGAAAGAGGAAAGGGCATGCTTCTTCCTTGTTCTCATTCTGCACAAACTTCCATTCTTGTGGGTTTGCACAGATCCTTGTTCAGTCGGTGAGGCATAAAGAGAGTGTAGTGACACGATGTAGCATGCAGAGCGTTGACCTTTGCTGCCTTGTCTGTTTCAGCAATGAGCGGCTGCCTGAGAAGTACACGGTTCACGAGGCAAAGGTGAGCTTACCTGGACACTGCACGCGACACCACCATTCAGTTTCTCCCAGTGATAGTACCTAGACGAAGATCTGGCACCATGGTCTATGCGAATTTCCGAAGGGGTGCTGTGCTGCAATGGGAATGATATGTGTCTGCAAGCCTTTAGTGTTGGCCAGTTTTAAGCGAGGCTTCGGCTCGGAAGTGAACTGTGCAAATCAAGGTTTTCTAAAACAGCTTTGTAAATGGATCCCATTAGGTCACTTAACATTTCAAAACAAAATTTCACTCACCTGCAGGGTATCAGCAAATGACGAAAGGAAAAAATGGAACACTGCCTGTGTTGTTTCACTACGGTGCGTAGTTTCTAAAACAACTCATGAGAACAGAACTTCTGAAAATTATATAAAACGTGAGAGCTGTATGTTGGGGGCCTTGTTTCCAAGACATTATTAAAAAATTTAACTGCACTAAAGATGAGACGCCACAAAGTTGACAGCACAATCGCAGACTAACAGCTGGTTTATTGAAACATACTTCACCCTTATAAAACAAACTAAGTGCATGTGCAATGACAGTCATGACCACGTGACTAGTTGCATCAATTAAAAAGGAAATCTACATTTATTTATTTATTTAGAAAATACTGTCGTCACTGAAGACCAGGTAGGGGGGGAACATTACAATAAACAATATATGCAGACATCGAGAAAAATTATTACAATAAACAAGTTTGCAAGAATATAAAAAGGGTGATACAACAAATGTAACGAAAATATAACAACATATATATATATATATATAAGAATAAACAATAGCAGAAATGGAGTGATGTCTTAAAGCACTAAGAAAAACAATATACACATATGCACAGCCAAATTTATACACACGGAATGTCTGAAGCATTACGCAAGAGTTTCGACCATTTCATAGTTCGGAGGCTTCGCTACAATTACCCCGGGGTCGAAGAGGGAGCCGCCTGGCGACCTAACAGCTTGTTATTATTAGCGGGTCATAATAAGCCTACAGGCGCTCCACGTTGACGATGTCTCGCCCACGGCGGCGCATGTCCGAAGATATTTCAACGGGTTCGATCAGATAGTTGACGGGTGAGGTGCGCTCGATGACACGGTAGGGGCCTTCGTATTTGGGACGTAGTTTGGAAGAGGGGCCAGCGGCAGAGGTCGGGGTCGAGAGCCATACAAGCGCACCAGGAAGGAACATGGGCTCAGAAGTGGTGGAGCCATCACGGATACTCTTCTGCCGCTTTTGATCTTGCGTCGTAAAAGTCTTGGCAAGCTCGCGACACTCTTCAGCAAGCCTGGCTGTCTCGGAAATAGGTGTACACTCAGATGGATCCGGCGTGTACGGGAGTATCGTGTCCATGGTGTGCGACGGGTGCCTTCCGTACAGCAAGTAGAAAGGTGAAAAACCAGTCGTGCTCTGAGGGGCGGTGTTGTAGGCGTAGGTGACGAAGGGCAGTATATTATCCCAATTAGTGTGGTTGGCAGCGACGTACATAGAAAGCATGTCGCCGAGGGTGCGGTTAAAGCGTTCGGTGAGGCCATTCGTCTGTGGGTGGTAAGCAGTAGTTTTGCGGTGGACAGAATGGCACTCCGTCAGAATGGCTTCGACGACTTCCGACAAGAAGACACGGCCTCGATCGCTGAGAAGCTCTTGGGGTGGTCCGTGGCGCAGTATAAATCGATGCAGCAGGAAGGACGCAACATCGCGCGCAGCAGCCGCAGGGAGAGCGGCGGTTTCGGCGTATCGCGTTAAATGGTCAACGGCAACGATGGCCCAGCGGTTACCAGCCGACGTCAGAGGAAGTGGTCCATACAAATCGATACCTACGCGCCCAAAGGGACGGTCAGGGCAAGGTAACGGTTGTAGACTGGCGTGCGACATGTGGGCTGACGGTTTACGGCGTTGGCAAGTGAGGCAAGAGCGAACGAACTGCTGCACATAGCGGTACACCCCGCGCCAGAAGTAGCGTTGTCGAATGCGATGGTAGGTTTTGAATACCCCAGAGTGCGCGCATTGCGGATCAGAATGGAATGATTCACATATCTCTGACCGCAGACTGCGGGGTATCACGAGTAACCACTGCCGGCCGTCGGCGTCGTAATTGCGTCGGTGTAGGAGGCCGTCACGAATGGCGAAATGGCGAGCTTGACGACGCAATGCACGCGTGGATGGCGCTGCGGATGGATCAGAGAGCATGTCGATGAGCGGGCCGATCCAATTATTCTTTCGCTGTTCGGTAGCGATGATGTCAAAACCAATAAAACTACTATTGTACAATTCCCTTTTTTACTCTTATTTAAACTATTGCCACTTAGTCTGGGGCACGACTACTCCTGGCTGTCTTCAGCGTATCTACATTCTGCAAAAGAGATTCCTTCGTCATGTTCATAATGTACCTTGGCACTCGCCCAGTGCAGATCTCTTTTTGCAAAGTAATGTAATAAAGATCGAGAACTTGTACAAATTCCGTTTGAGTGTCAGGTTTCAACTCGAAACTCTAAAAAATATAAACCATCTACGATACCTTGCCGATTTGCATGCACGAAAAATGACATTTATGACAAGGCATGGAGAGTCTTGGGTTGTGCCGACACCCAGAATAAACTTAGGTCGACAACGCCTGCAATTTACTCTTCCTTCCCTTCTAAATTCATATTTACATAGTGGTTTTGATCTCTTCAGTTCGTCAAAGAATACTTTGCGTGCCATGTACGTTAATATGTAAGCTTAGTTTTTTTTTTTTTTTTTATACTCTATTTTATAATATCTTTTAGAGTCTCTTTTGTATTTGTCGATTATTGTTTATTTGCCATTACACTATGTTAATACTGTTGTTTAATGAACATTGCTGTGAAGCTGCTGCTAAGCAAAAGGGTGTCGCGGCTTTGTCAAGCTGTCTCTGACAGCTTTTTCTGCGCCTCCACTGTCTGTACCCCTACAAGGCAGAAATAAAGAATTTGAATTTGAATTTGAATGGCAGAAACAGCAGCCGAGGATACTGAGCAGAGCACATCACCTTCAGGCAGAGGGGAGCGCGAGAGGGCGTCGGCGTCAGCATGCTGGCGTCCGTTGCGGTACAGCACGCGGATATCGTAGTCTTGTAAGCGAAGAGCCCAACGGGCGAGACGGCCTGAGGGATCCTTCAATGATGAAAGCCAGCATAGTGCATGATGGTCGGTGACGACATCGAATGGGCGACCATACAAATAAGGTCGAAACTTTGTAAGAGCCCAGACGATCGCCAGGCACTCTTTCTCCGTGACGGTGTAGTTTTTCTCCGCTCTCGTGAGCGTACGGCTTGCATATGCTACGACATATTCTGGGAATCCGGGTTTTCGCTGCGCCAGGACAGCGCCGAGGCCTACTCCGCTGGCGTCCGTGTGCACCTCCGTTGGGGCTGTAGGGTCGTAGTGGCGTAGAATGGGAGGCGACGTCAACAAATGGCGGAGCTTCGCGAACGCGTTGTCGCACTCGGATGACCACGAATTGAAGGGCCCGTTGCTTCCAAGGAGCTTCGTCAGCGGTGATATGATCGTGGCGAAATTTCGTATGAAGCGTCGGAAGTATGAGCACAGGCCCACGAAACTACGCAGTTCTTTGACAGATGCAGGTTTGGGGAATTCGGCCACGGCCTGAAGCTTGGCAGGATCAGGAAGAATGCCGTCTTTGGACACGACGTACCCCAGTATGGTGTGTTGCCGTGCTGCAAGCGGCACTTTTTCAGATTTAGTTGTAAGCCGGCATTGCTCACACGTGCGAAAACTTCTTTCAGACGTTGGAGATGCGTGGAGAAATCCGGAGCAAAGACAATGACATCGTCGAGGTAACACAAGCACGTTTACCATTTCAAGTTGCGCAGAATGGTGTCCATCATGCGCTCAAAGGTCGCAGGTGCATTACATAGACCAAACGGCATGACGTTAAACTCGTACAAGCCGTCTGGCGTGACGAAGGCGGTCTTTGGTCGAGCGTCGTCAGCCATGGGTACTTGCCAGTACCCCGAGCGCAGATCGAGAGAAGAAAAAAAATCGGCTCCATGAAGGCTGTCAATCGCGTCATCGATGCGTGGCAGTGGATAAACATCCTTGCGAGTGATCTTATTGAGCCATCTGTAGTCTACACAGAACCGCACAGAACCGTCTTTCTTCGCAACAAGAACAACAGGAGACGCCCATGGACTGTCGGAGGGCCGAATAACGTCGCGTCGGAGCATATCGTCAACCTGATCATTAATTACTCGACGTTCAGCAGGCGACACGCGATATGGACGTTGCCGTAAAGGTGGATGGGCACCAGTGTCGATGCGATGCGTAACAACGGACGTGCGACCGAGAGAACTTCGCCCGACATCGAAAGAAGAACGATATTCTTGTAACAGGTCCAGAAGTTGGGAACGCTGTGCGGCCGTAAGGTTGTCAGCGATGGAGGGGCCAAATACATCAGCAGACGACGAATCAGAAGTGGAAACAGCATTGATGGTACACGACCTGGGAGCGCGCGTGTCATCGGGTACGTCCAGGACTTGTGCGTCGTCGACTGGTTCCACTCTGCCGAGATATTCCCCTCGAAGCAAGGTAACAGCGTACGGGAACGGGTTGGTTACAAAAATAGCAGTGTTGCCCTGGTTGACCTGCACGGTCGCGAAAGGTACTAGCAACCCTTTCCTGCTGCAAGCGCGGTCAGATGGCGAAACAAGTCCAATGGTGTCGGAGAGACCAGCGCAGTAGACAGACACAGCCGTCGTCGAGTTTGGAGGCACTGTTGTATCGTCTCTCGTTAGAATCTTGCTCAGTGTCGGGGGACTGTCTTCTGGCGTCAAATGCGAGAAGGGTGAGAGCTCAATTTCGGCAGTGGCACAATGGATGACGGCGTCATGGCGGGAGAGAAAGTCCCATCCCAGGATGACGTCATGAGAGCATGCCTGAATGACGATGAACTGGGCGACATACAGAACGTCCTGGATGACAACGCGAGCTGTGCACCCTGCTGTAGGA